ACATCCAGAGACAGAATGGCAAGTGAATGTTGCCAAGTTCCAATCGTGTTTGACCGGCCTTTCACCCGAAGTTGAGCTCATTCAGGTGGAGCTTCTTTTTTATCGCCACGCATGTGGGACCAAAACTGCTGGGTCCGTGCACGCCATGCTGCATCTGTTGATCTGCAAAGCGCCTTTTTTCAGATGGGGAATTCCCAAGCGGCCCAGGCTTCATGACTGCGAAACAGAGAACTATGCGAGCACCGCGCGAGGTCAGACAGGCCGCCCGCTTCTATTCATGTGAACTGACAAGACCTCACGCCCCGAAGTGGCCATGCAGCCTTGGAGTTCCTTGGATTGACGAGTTTGCTGTTCCGCTTTGCAGGTATCGGCCCTGCACAATGCTCCGCCAAAGTCTTCGAAGGACATCGCAAACTCCTCTGTCGAGCCAGCCAGAGCCAGGAAGACTTAGGTAGATTGAAAAGTTGTCGGAAGGGGCTGGACTTCGCCAGAGAGACACGCAACTCGGCACAGACTCCAGTGACCGACCGTCACCGGAGACTACCTGCAACGAGGCATCTGCGGCCAAAGCAGCACTGTCTTGATCTTGGGTGTGGTGAATCCCGCAGTGAAGCACGGCAGCGTGGTTGTGTTGCAGTTAAGCAGCACTTCACCCAGGCTGCGGCTTCTGCAAGATGCAAGAACAGCTCGCCTGCCACCGGACGGTCTTTCGCTTCAGGCAGGCGTCGCCTCACGGTGGCAGTGACTCGGGGGCAAGAAGATGAGAGCAAATCGTAGTGCGTCGACTCGACAGCAGTGGCATGCAAGCAAGCCTGTAGCCGGCCTACAACCTAAGGCTGTCGCTGGCGATTCTGGACAAAGCATCCAGAGCCAACGGTCAGGCGCAAAGAAGTTGAGCAAGCTACAAAAAGCTCTGTGAGACTGTAGAGCCAAGCCCTCCATGCAGGCGCCTGCATCAGTTGTTGGTGCTGTCCTAGCAGACTGTGAACATGCACGACGATGGAAGGAGGCAGCCGGAGCGTCGGGGAACAGGGTTGTCCAGCACAGCCGGAGCTGCCGGAGCTGCCAGGTGCTTCTCGCTTTGCGCAGCATGCGCGCCACCATACGGCCGAGCGGGCCGAGCTTACTGGCATATAACACCGCCATCTTTGTATCGACCTTGGCAGCCCCAAGCGCCAAGCAATGACTCGTAGTGAGCTTTCATGTATGTCAAGTTCGGCAATTACGAGTGAAGCCCCAAGGCATGTCAGTCTCAGAAGAGCTGGGTCTCAGTCCCAGATTTACTCGCGCAGGCACGTGAACAGAGTCGTGCCATGGGTGTAGGCCCAGCCTCAGGAACTGGTGGTTCAGATTCTCCTCGAGATGCGACTCAAGCGCTGTCAGCTTCAGGCTTAGCGGTCTAACGAGATGAGGCCCAATGTGATACAGATTCTCTCTTTGGTTTGCTGTTCCACGGCTTTCGAGGCCCGATGCGAAGACCTGCAGCAGAGCTATCCTTGCTTGTGGCGGGGTTCGTGTTTCGACCTCATAGCTGCAAATTGTGCACCTTTGGTCGGTGCAGGGCCGCTCTGGCAGCAAGCTCTTGCATTCAATGCATATTTTCAGCTGGCCGGGGTTAAGTGCTGGAGCTCAGCGACACACGTTCCTTCAAGAAGCCAATGCGCGATGACTGCACAGATGTCAGGCCGAATACCATTACAACATCTGCCCTCATCAGCTCCTGTGCACGAGCAAGTCGCTGGCAGCGGTGACCTCATGAGAATGCCTGCTAGAGTGTGCTTCGTTGCGCCACCATGTCTTGAGGTTATCCCTTGCTTTCGTTGATTTCGACGGGCCGTCAGCCGCCTGCGTCTATCCATCTTGAACTATTGCAAAGAGTCACTCAAACAACGCAGATCGAGCACGGCGGTCTTCAACGCAGTCATGACTGCCTGCGCCGCTTGGCCGTGGGTAGGACTTGGTTCCTGCAGCAAGCGCGGCGTTGCATGCGTGCTTATTCCAAGAAGGACATTGAAGAAGAAGCGTTGCTTCTATGCTCTCTCTTTGGGTTCGGCGATGTACATGGTCAGCACTCGCACAGAGTAGCGCCTAGATGACGAGTCCGTCGATCGTTAAAGCCTGGGACATCACTGAGAGCATACAGATTTTGCAGCAGTAGAGGTGTCAAAGGGGGGCAAAAGCTTGCACATTCCCTCCGAAGTCCGGTTGTTGGCAGTTGCTGAGGGAGACGGGAATCCCGACAGGTACAGGGCTCGAAGTGGCCTGCGGCACTTCTGCTGCTGCGCAGGTCTGAACCGTCAGAGCATCCGTGTTTTTCCAGAGGCTGGATCAAGTTCGTGATGCAGTCAGGATTTCTGCACTTCAACTGCTGCCTGACTTGTTCAGCCGAGCACTGAGCCGGATTTGTCGAAAGGTCGGACTGCAGCTCATGAGCTTGTGCTTGAGGCTTCAACGTGGCCATCCATGGATGTGAAGTTGGAGGTGGTACCTGGGTGCGCAACCTGAAGCAAGCTGTCGCTGTCTGCCAAATGTTTGCAACGCTCTTAGCTCGCAGGTCACTGCTTTGCAGCTCTTGGAAGAAATGTCTTGCATGATGCTTCAGCCGGACCTTATCAGTGGGGTGCTTACAGCATCGGGTCCACGGTCATGGCTTGATTGCGGCTTTATATCTTGCTAGTCCATCCTTTTCCAGGCATCAATTCCTGCATCAGCGCTTGCTCGGAGGCTCGTGCCACTGAGAGGCTCCCCTTGTGTTTTTGAGACTCCACGCTGACAGGGCCTGCGCTGGGCAGCTGCAGTGCAGCTCTTCAGCCAGATGGCAGACAGACAGGCTCGAGCAAGATCTGGAGCATCGTGATGCAGTCGGCTTCGCCACTGAGTCAACGAGTCGC